TTTGTATGTGGCTGCCTCGCTCCCACCTGCTGCCTCCCCAGTGCCACCTGCTCACCTCTCCTCACTTAGTCTCCTTTGTTTCTGCTCCCTGGAGGAAGGCAGCACCATGAGCACATTGTCCCAGGTTGCTCCCCCTAAGGCTTACTTACCCAGCTCATTACTGCAACCACAGCCTTCCCTTGCATCACCAGGACCACTGATGAAAACAAAGCCCGAAACTAAGGGGAGAAGCAAGGAATCCAGCAGGCAGGGTGCCAGCACACCGGCACCAGAGCAGAAAGAGGGACACAAGTCAAGGAGGAGATGGTGGGCTTCAAGGACAACCACAGCCAGAGAGCCTGGAAGCAGAGGCAGGTTCTACACCTACAGAGGCAAACATACAGCAAAGCATAAGTTAGGGAGAGTCACAACATCTTTTTTTCGTAATCAAACATCCATCTTGCTGTTAAATTCCATTTGCAGCTCAAGTCTTCAGCTGGAAAAATGGGGCTCAAGTGCCCCTTTCACCTATACTTTGTTGAGCATCTTTGGATTGTGAGGTCTTCTGGGTATGGTTCGTGCTTTAGCACAACTGCGAGACAGAGACTCTCAGCACTGCTACTGTGCAAGTTATTAGTATCTACATTATTAGTACTTCTAGTCCTGTTGTTAATAATAATAGCAACCTAATACACTGTTTTCTGTGCTGTCTGGGAAACAGGGATTCCATTCCTATGTATTTTATGACAGGGATAAGGAATTACAGTTCTCATGTGCACAAGGTTGCTCTTTGAGCCATAATAAACTGCATCAAATCAGGCATTTCAGACCAGAGCATCAACGTGGTATTAAATGGGTGCCTTCACTGGGTTTGGCCTGGGGACTGGGCTGGGCATGGCTGTATCTTCATGTGAAACAAGATCTGGCACCAAACTCACACAAAATCCCCCTGAGCATTCCTGTGCTCAGTGCACATCTCCAGAGAGCTGTGGGTACAGGAGCATTGCATCACTGATACAGCCTCTTATCTCCATCCCTGGTATGGCTTCGTATTTCATCCCTTGATCCCCGAAGGGGTTTGCAGTAGGGCTGAGTCTTGGGTGTCTCCAGGCACCGGCTGCCCCCCTTCCGCACCATGGCACACGCCGGTCTCACCCTTCCTTACAGACCACCAGACACCAGCACAATAACGGCAGCTCGGAAACACATTCGGCAGCAGAGCGGCTGCAGCCGCTCCTGGCGCCCCGTCCCCAGGGCAGGAGCCCGGTCGGGCTGTTCCTCGGCCGGCCCCGGTCCCGGTCCGGGGGCTCCGGCGGTGCCGGCGGTGCCGGGTCCCCGGGGCGGTCCCTGGCGGTGGCGCTGCGCCCTCGCTGGTCACGGCGGGTGCTGCAGACCCGCCCGGGTTTGGGCTCCTGGCGGCGGGGGCTCCCTGGGGAGCAGCGCACACAGCGGCTGCGCTCGGCAGAGGAAGTTCGGGAGCAGGAAGCTCAGGCAGGGCCATCGCTGCTCCGTGCAGGGCTGTAGAGCTGTGCGTGAGCCCCTCTCTGCTTTGCAGGAACCTCCTGGAGCTGAAAACACGCCTGTTCTTCTGTCACGGGCTAGGCCAGTTGCTTCTCTCCACATCACAGAGCTTCTGCAGCCTCGTTGCACAAGGCTGTGAGAGAGAAACGCCACGCAGGGAAGTTCTGAATGTGCCGTGGCAATAGAGACCCTGCTGGGAGGCACCCTGGTAGCCTCAGTGACACCTCTGTGTCCTCTGCCAGCGCCTGCAGCGGCTCCTGCAGAACTTCCTAGGAGCAAACCGTAAACTCACCCCCATGTTAAGTCTCAAAAGACTCTCAAGCCTCCTGATCAGTGAAATGCAGTTAGCAAATGACCTGCTGCAAAGTGGTGCCACTCAGTGCAGGGAATTTCACCCGGAGCAAACGGCAGCACAAGAGTGTGGGCTCTCACTAAGAGAGGATAGCAGAGAAGGAGCTCCCAGTGCATCTGCTGGAGGAGTTGGTAACATTATCTGGTAGCAGAAACTATGACCAGGATAGGAGAAATTAAATTGCAGTGCACCACCCTGTCCAGTCCTCTCTAGTGAATACGACAGAAGCCCTTCTGTTTGAGATCTTGGAGAGTGGACCTGATAAATCAGTAGAAGCCACATTTCCATCAGGCAGCTCTGCTCTGGGGCTGCAGTGTGAGGGTCAGGCCTGAGGATTTCCTGGCCTAGGGAAAGACAAGAGCCCCCCCTTTCCCGCAGCAGCTTTCTCTTGCAGTACACGCAGTGTATCCCCGTGTTTCTGAGTAGCGAGCAGAGCCCAGAACAAGAACTGAAGGGCTCTGAGCGAGGGGGCTCGGCGAGTCTCATTTAATTACAGTGTGGTGCTGGCTCTGCTCGCCCCACCCACATGCCATTTCACGCCTGATTTCTTCTCTGATTTCTTTGGGGAAAGAGAGGGAATTCGAGTGCATGTAATTTGGGTTAACAAGACGCATTATCTGCAGCCTCATTCTTGTAAAAACTTTCACAGGGAAATCACCCAGCCCATGGAGAGAAAAAATTCTCTCCTTATTGTAATTTTTCCAAGGCTAATCAAACTCTCACCATTATCCTATTGATCACAGGGAAGGTTTGATTTTCTACCGGTTGCCTAGTTAAGGTACAGTAGCTGTTGCTTGGCTTACTACATGCTGTGAGTACAACAGAGATCAACCCTCCATTTCTATGCTCCTTTTTTGTCCCTTTCCTAAGACCCCTTTTCCTTCAAAGCTCACCTGCCTTTTGCTTTTGTGGTGTTCTACCTGCCTTTCACCTTCTCCTGTATCCATTGAGCAACAAAAGGTGTAAAGCTGGATTTCTACAATTAAACCTGCCAGAATAAGAATGGGGGAAAGCAAAAATCCCGAACAGGTTCGGAAACAGGAGGCAAAGGAAAAGGTGGATCTGAATGAAGCATCCCCCAACAACACGGACAAAAGGGCTCTGTGTCCAGTACCTGTAGACATTATTAGCATAACCTCCTTACAGCTTGGACCAGAAATTGTAAGGTAGGAGCCCTTCGTGGTGGTGTGTGCCCAGGACTGTCACTGAATGCACAGCATCTGATCCTGCCATTATTGCCATATGCTTTATAGTCACCAAAGCTTGTCTTCCTGTGTGAGGAAAGGCATCAGTCTCCGTTTCAAGGTGCAGTTCCTGTCCCTCTGGGGGACAGCAGCCATGTGTCAGTGCACAGCAAGGAGGCAGGGAACAGCTACACAAGAGCAGCGTGCTGGAGAAAGGTGCAGGCTTTGCTTTGCCTTCCTGTGCAAGGGTTTCTTTGGATGTGTTTTGTGTCCCTTCAAGTCACTTGGGAGTTTAGGAGAGCCAGAGAGAATAGCTTTTTCTGTCATTATTTGATAACCAATACAGTTCCCTTTGACCCTCTCCCCTCTTCCCAAAAAAGAAAGACCAGCTCAGCATTGTGTTATTTTTCAAAGCCTTTACAAATTAAGACAGTAACATGGAAATCCTCGTTGGGTTTCAGTTCATACTTCCTCCCATGCTGGGCTGAAACGGGGATTCTTTTGTGATGGCTGTGCTGCTTATTTTTTTTAAACCTCCTGAATTTGGCACACTGCCCTACTTTATTTTCTTTCCATTCTCTAGTGCTGCTCCCATTGGGAGGCTCATTCGCTTCTAATGCATGGTGTTATCTTTTGCAAGTTGAACTCTAAATCCCTGTGTTGTTTTTCCTTGCTTGTTATTCAGGTGCAGGGAATGTTAATGATGTCTCTTTGGCTGGTGGATACTCTGGCTATGTGGCTTTCATTCTTTCTATTAATGTGTTTTATGAAGTAAATTACAGATAAATGTAGATTTTTAACTACAGCTTCGAGAAGGCACATCTGTGAGACTTCACAGTCTTTCATTGGGTGAAACGCACAATTAACATCTTCCACAGCAAGAGAATGTTCGCAGGTGTGAATGGGAGAAGCTTTACTGAGGCAAAAGCTCCAAAACTAAAACCTGACACCTGATATACAGAGGGACAGGGAAGGGGACAGGGAAGGGAGTAGATTTGCAAACTAACTTGTATTCAGGGTCACTGAGCTCTGCTCCTGTGCGCTCAGCTGCCCACACCAAGGAAGCCTCCTTTTACAGCACTCAGCAGTCCCTATTTGTAGTTGTCAGACAATCCTCAAATTAGAGACCTTATGAAGAAAAGACCCATGTTCTGTACTTGTCATTGGTTCAAGATGACTAAAAACCTCCTAAAACTTCTCAGGGACTCAGGAAAGCAGGCTGTGATGGGGTTTTTCATGGTAGGGCTTGCTCATAGAGGCATCTGGACTGTCCTTGCCCCAGGTGCCATTCGTGAGCCTGTGGCCTAAGTCTGCAGGCGCCAGAGCACCTTGTTATGGCTGTGCCTGTCACTGTTTATGTTGCTCAGCCAATGCAGTCTCTTGTTGCAGCATCAGGCCTCCTGGGAGACCTTGGTGCATTGAGCTGGGGAAGTTGTACAGCCTCCAAGAGCCATTAGATGAGGAAACATCGACTGCTGCTATGCAAAAGTAGGGTCAGCAGAGGGTAAAGGTCATCGGGGTCCTCTGTGGACACCCATCCCTCCCCACACATTTCCCACAGCCCCCATCCTCCCTGTGCTCCCCCTGGCTGGTGGCACTGGGTAGTCACAACTGGGCAGGATTTGCAGTAGGTTTTTCCAAAGAACCCTGCGGGCTCCAGCCATCATTCAGCTTCGGTGCCAAAGGCAGATGGGAGAAGGAGAAAGGGATCTGCTATGGCCTGTACCAGTGCAGCCTTGTTGGCTCCATGGTCCCTGGTGGTAACTCCCTGCCTGGGTGATGTGCAAGGGTCAGGGTGCTCTGGGCTTGCCGTGTGAATAGATCTGCCTTCCCCAGAGCGATGCCTGGGCTGAGGAAGGAGAAGAAGAAACATATATTGTCATGGAGAGAGGCTGAATTTCTCTGAGTAGTCTGAACTGAACTGGGATTAGAGGATTTAGTAAAGGAAAATACGTACTAGTGTCTGTAGTTGTCTGGTTTTTATTGAACCAAGAATCCCCTGTGAGCCATGAGGTAAGTAAGCAGTAAAATCATCCAACAATGCCTTGAAAACAGTTCTGTCTCTAAACATTGCACCTCTCGGGCACTGGCTGTGTTCAGAACGGCTTTCTTCATCCCAGGAGACTGAGTTACCTTGGACAGCACGCAGCCACTGCCAAAAATAAATACTTAAAGCTGGGTGGTGCTTGAGTCATTGATGCAATGAGAGGCTGCGAGGCTGGAAAACAAACTGATGGCTTTTACATGGGCAAAATCTCCAGGCCATTCTCTCCTTCCTCAGCACTTGCCCCTCATTTCCATGCAAGAGACATTGTCGGTTTGGGGGATTCTTACCAGGAGCTTGTGAGAGAAATGTTGAAAAGGGAATTTTCCAGGTTGCCTTTTCCGTCTTCCTGCTGCATTAACTGCAGGTGGTGAAGCTGCTGTTTCGGCATTTCTTCTTCAAAAGCTACATCACGTAATATCACTGAGATCACACGGAGATGAGGAGAAAAATGGCCCTATAGGATTTTTGTTAAAAAAGGATCCATCCATAAAAGATGAAAGGTTAAATTGCTTTTAGAAACACAGCAGCGTTTAAACAGGTGAAGATCCTCGGAAACGGAGTTTGGATTCAATAAAGTAGCCATGCAGAAGGGCAGAAGAAGGCCTTTCTTTGGAGGGAAATGTCACACTTTAGTGTTAATAAAATGTCTAGTGGTATAATAATAATGATAGCAATCAGGAGCCTTTATTTTTCACCTGGCAGGGCTGGTTCATGTGTGTTTTTTCAAAGCTACCTGCAATTCAGGAAAGAACAAAAAAAGAATCAGGCATGCATTGACTGAAAAATACCACAGTGGAAGAGAAGAGAGCCAGACCAGCCCAAGACACCTGCATGTTACTAGGGAGATAAAGAGTGCTGCTCCCAGGTGGCAGGACATTTTCTTCCTCAGCCTTTTAGATATTGCTTCTTTGCAGCTGTGTTGTAAAGACATGGTGGGAGATTTACTATCCTAAAAGAAGGTACAATGAAAATGTCAAAAGGAAAAGGCAATTGCAAACAATAGTTTTGCTCTGGGCTGGCCCCCTCTACACTCTCCTTAGTAGTGATGTATCACAAAGGCACTGAGCACACAGCATTAGCTACTCTTGCATCTCTTCTGTGTTTGTTAGGTTTAATGTGCCAGAACTTGGTGGAACAAAACTTGTTCTCCATCTATGTAGATGTCACATGAAACTTTCAGTGGAAAGAGAGGAAGGGTGGGAAATACTGGTCTTTTAGAGACAGACAGGCACACCAGACTAATACATAACACACTAAGTGGTGAGGGGGATAACACCCATGGTTATAACACCCATGGTTAGTGGAGTATGTGTAGGCTGATACACACCTGTGAACCAAGGATATGAGAGAATCTGTAAGCCCAGCCCAGCCCAGCAAAGCAGTCTCCCAGTCTGAGCCTGTACCTGGGCTGCACCCAGACCCACATCTCCACAAAACCCCAGTGCACAGCAGCATACTTCAGTCCTCGCTTGTGGGGAGGGAAAGCAACGTGGAGGGGAGCCAGGTCCCTCTGCACCACATCCCTGCCTGGGTGATGAGATGTGGAGCATGCTTGCAGCCAGCACCTCTCGCTCAGCCTCAGCACAGCCAGAACCATCAGCCTGAGCTTGTGCAGGGCTCAGCACGGCCAGCATTGAGCACTGTCAGGGTGGCTTCAAACTGTCACTCCTGACAGCGAGAACCCTGGTGTGCCACAGTGCTGTTTGTGGTCGTGTCCGGAACAGCACGGGATGAGCAGCAAGAGCAAAGCTCCTCTGAAGTGTTTCTGACACATGTTTGGCATGTGTAGAGCTTGCCAGCTCTGCAGTGCTCAGATGCTCTGGAGTTCAGTGCCAGAGCGCACATCTGGAAGGATGAGACTGCTGTCTTGCAGGGAACTAATAGGCTGCAGGGACTTTTCTGCTATAAACTGCTCTTTGCCTTGTGCAGCAGATGGCTGGGTTAGCTGTAGCATTAATATTAACTTCAGCAAGGCTCACACTGGAGATGATATACTCCAACCCCAGGAGCCAAGTCTGTTGAGCAGTGCTTGCAAGATACAGCCACAAGCACTCACTTCAGTGTTTACTTTAAGAGATTCCTCGAGTGTAGATTTGCTGCTCATGCTGGCCCACAGTGTGTGTTGATGGGGAAGGTGCCAGCTCTTGTCAGTCACTAGTGTTGTCATGAATTAGCAGGGGCCACACAGGGTACAGCCATACGTGTCAGCCTTGTGAATGAGCACTGGAGCAAGATGCGAATATGTGAGGTCCTGCTAAGACAAAGTATCAGAGAGAAAAGGAGCTCCCTTGGCACAGGAGCTTGTGGGTCCTGCTCATCCAGCATGTCCAAAGCATGAGCAGCCTTCCCCTGTGTCCCCGATGCGGTTGCTGCACTGGGCCCTGATGACAGCCTTGCTCCTGCAGCAGCTGTGAACATGGAAATGTCAGGAACTGATGGAACTGAGTTATTCCAAGGCCCTGCAGTACTTCAAGGCACAGACCTTAGCAGCATCAGCAGCCAGGCCAGGTCACAGAGGGGAGGGGAATGGATAGGATTTTGCACAGTTTTCCCCAGGATCCAAAGCTCACATCCTGCCATCCCTTGCATGGGAACTGAACAAGTCTTGCTCCAGTGAAAAGCACCAGCTCAAATGCTTTGGGAAGTAGCTCTCTGGGATTCTGCAGGATCTGGTAGAGTGGCATCAGTTCTGTTTTACCCAGGCAGCAGGTGGGCATGGGGAACACTGGTAACCACTTTTCTAGATACCAAGGCAGTAGTGATTTTGCCCTAGACATTATGACCCCAGGTAGTTTCCATACAAACAAATGCCCATTATTTTTATTGTTCAGTTTAACCAGAATTCTTAACAGCATGTATTTCCTTATTTACATTTAAGAGAATATCCCAAACTGGACACCAGCCATTTGCGGTGAAAGGCTCACAAAGGCCTGTTTGCTCTCTCAACTAAAATCCTTTGCTCAGAAAAGTGTTTGTTTGCGTGATAGAGCTACTTCTGTCATATGGAGCTGGAGGCTCTTGGGCATATTTTGGCCTAGTGCCCCAGAACACATAGTCCCTATTGAGATTTACAGCCAGTTTAACTCTAAATGCATTTCTGTGACAAGCTGACTCACCAGTTTCTTCTACCCCTCCGGCTCTGCTTTTACCAACTTGCATGATTTTGTCACATGCCTTTGAACAGTCTCTGTTTTTTCTTAAAGCCCAGCAGCTGGAGTCAAGGCCCTGTGTGAGGAGTCAGAGTCGGAACTTGAGACACCAGGGAAATAAAGATCCCAGCACTTACGCTCACTTTTAAGTTGTTGATGTTTAGTCCCTGAGTTACACTTTTGGATGGTACTGACTGAAATGACTGTGGATGCATCCACTCCTGTGGATTCCAGCTGAGCCCAGCAATGTTCATTTACTGTAGTTTGCAAAATGATTTTTGCCAAAACACCGTAACCGTTTCTCTGAACGTCAGTAGCCATCACAGGGGGAGCAGGTTGTTCCTAGAGGAAATGCAGCCCTGATGACACCTGTGGTTCAATGTACTACAGTTGAGGTCTGTAGTTCCTGGGCAGATCCTGGGCAGACACTGTGCCTTTGCAGAGTCCATGTGGGTCCAACCAGAAGCATAACCTTAAAGTTGTTAGGTTATGGAGTAGGCAAAATTTGTGGTCTTTCATCAAGTCCTGAAATCTTTCAGTTGAGCAGGACTTGGGCAGAAGTTGGAAACATCAGGGAAAGTCTAAGGAGAAAAGAAACACCCTGTAGCAGTGCTCTGAACTGGTGTGCTAATCATCTTTCAACAGTTACTCATTTCATGGCATATTTTTGCTGCTGCAATTTGGGTAGCTAAAATACATCCTTTATTACTGTCTGTCTAGTGCAGCACTGAGCTGGCTGAGAGCTCTAGCTGTTGATTCAGCAGCAGTACACTTGGGAGAGCTCTGGACTTATCTTTTGCCAGGGTAACATGTCTTTTTGACTAATTCTGATCCAGGATTTTCTTGGAAAAGAAAAATAACCCCGTGCCTGCACAGATCTGTATCATGCTGTGCATATAGTTATTTGTGTATGTGGGTTACAAATTCCTTTGCTTCCCAGTGACCTCTGCTAGGCACTTAGTGAAGTATGTGGAATAAATTCACACCCCAAAATCAGAGGCTAGATTACTTTGTAGAAGAACATCAAACAATTTTCACGCTAAAACTTACATGGTGCTGAAATAAAAAGAAGTTCAAAAGTGTTTATGGTTCCTTCGCAGAATGTATTGGTTTGAAAATTCCACTATTGTGCTTAGATATTTGCAACTGAATCTCACACCTTTGTTCCACCAGGGCCCAGAACAGCAGACCTGAGGTCATGCTGCAGGGCTCTCTTAGGCTTCTCACTGTTTCCCATCATCCTTCTTGGAGTGATGTTGTGCCTGTGTCACAGGTAGGGTGTCATAGACTGGCTGCTCCGAAACTTCTTGGTGTTCTGTTATAGCAGTGTTTAGGTATGGCTGTAAAAGTATAGGTGCACTGTAATATGATGAAAAACCACATGAGAATGGAAGTGAAACTGGCAGGAAAAGGGAAACACACCTGCTCACCTGCTGACTGAAGAGGAAGGAAGGAATGGTGGAAATGTCATAGTTTCAGCCATGCCTCCAGACTGAAGAGCATCACACAGGCTGAATATATAAAACAAGCCAATATCTGGTATTTTTTAAACAATGTGTTTTTGTGGGTCTAGAATTGTTGTTTTTGAAAAATTAAAGATTTGCAGTGGTAAAAGAAAGAATATTTTGACCACTTTCTCATTTTCTTACCCATTCTCTGCTGGTTGGCAGCTTGTGGCATCCCTCAGCAGTGTCTGACTGGGTTGGGTGCAGGGGCTGTGAGCGGGCCCTGCACAGGATGGGCCTTTCTTCCACCCAGGATCAGTCTCAGGATGATGTGGTTCTGTGGCGTGCATGGGGCCACACAGCCAGACAGTGTTTGATCTTGGAGGAGAGACACGGACCTGCTGGCTCCCAAAGCCATCCTCCAGAAAGCGTGTTCCTCACTTCCAAACACTGCCAACACATCGTGGAAGTGGCCTTTGACAGACAGGGAGAGCTTCTTTCCACAACCAGGGACGTGTCTAACTCGGGTTAGCTGACTACTGACGTCTTGTTAACGTTTATAGCCACTGGCCAGCCTCCATTCTGGCCTTGGTCTGAAGCTGCACTGCCTCTTCTGGTCCTCACTCTCACCAGCAGCTTCTCTGGGAACTGGAGAGGCTGAGGCAAATAATAGATACAAATCATGAGCAAAGAAGAAATGACTGTCATTGCAAAAATGTATTTATTAATGATCTTCACATAATTCTCGGGGAGTGATATTCTGCAAGACAGAATTGTGATAGATTTTCACCAAATGGGAATATTTCCCTCCAGAAGTGTGTAGCATTAAAGGCAGTGAAGAAGCTGAATGTGTTTCCTCCAGTCAGGAAAATGACGGATCAGGGACAAGAGACAATACATTAGTAAACAATATAAAAAATGTACATTTTGTCATTTTGTATTCCTGAGTTATTCTAAATCTGTGAATAAATCGAGAGCTTAAAGTCTCTGGAGCTGTTTTGAAGTCTCTTGCTTTCTATAAATATTGCATTTGCCTCAAGTAAGAATTTCTGACATGTATTAAAAAAATATACATTAGTAAAGCTTATAAAATAGATATTTGGAATGCTGTTATTGTTATTTTTTATTAAAAATACAGTTTAATGGAACAATTGAGTTCTACTTCAAAGTGTCAAAATTATTTTTCATGCTTTTTCCCCGTGTTCTTTGAACTTTATGGTTGAAGCTCTAATTTTCTGCTTTCTGCTTTTGTTCTTCTTTGAAGCAGCCGTTCCCCTGCACAGATAATGCTGTCTGCTTCCCAGTAGTGATCCAGTGAGATCCTCAGATTAGGGTTTCTTGGCAGATGGCCATGGTTAGCTGAGCTTGGAAGGCCAAGTCCAGTGTTGTCTATTGGGCTGGACAAATAGACAGTACCACCTCTCTGGAACAAACCCAAGGGAATATCTTACAACTGCTCTTAGTGTTCTTATGGGGGTATTTTGGGCAAATCAATGCCAGACACAACTACACACTGGTACCTGTGCTTAACCTGATCAAATGGTGTAAGGAGATCTCTTATTGTAACATGCTATCAAGAGTCTCTTTGCAAAGAGAGTCCTTGAGTTCAATAGTACAGGAGAAAACAGCTCCAGGTTTTCACATCTGTGACATGCTTTGTTTTATTTCATGCTGATCCATGCAGAGAAGCTGATGGTTATCATGTATTTGCATCACTGAGTCCAGAAACTGAACCAAAGTCCAGAATTCGATTTTTTGTGATTGTAACTGTGTACTGAGCTGCACCTCCAGCAGAAAGCTGTGCTGCCAGCTCAGGCACTGACACCGTGTCCTGGTTCAGCATCCCATATGGACCTGGTGTTAGCAAGCAATGCTGGATGACCTGGCAGTGGGCAGTGAGAGGAAGCATTCGTCTGGGAACTGCTATCACCTATCACATTTCCACAACAGGTGACCACGTACTTCAGCACTTGGCACATCCCTCAGCCAGCCCTCGAGCAGAGGTGGTCTCTGAAGTACGGTCAGAGAATGATGTATTCCTTGTGGGAATACATCATCATGTAATTCCCTGTGGGAACACCTTGTGAAACCCAACCGCGTGCTGAAACACCAGGAGCTGTGAGATGATCCTGGCAGAGAGGGAACACACACTGCAGCCACAGCTTTACATGTGTTTGGATGCTTTGTATTTCCACCTATGGACTCGCTTGCTTGTTTAGGAGAAAAATACAGGAACATTTCATAGGACAAAAATCTCATCAATGTCCGTGTCACCATTGCAGGGCCAGGTTCACATGGCACGATTTGGGGAATTCCCTGGAGAAAGCGCTTGCAGCTTTATTTCTGGAGATGCACCGACTGCTGATAAGGCTTGCAAGCAATGTAAATGCCCAGAGTAAGGGAGGGGAGAGCCCGCAGCCAGCACACCGGTGGCTTTATCTGGGTGTTGTCTGCACTATGTGGCAGCAGCCTGAACCACAGGAGCCGTATCAAAGGGCTCCTCAACTTATTCATAATTAGCAGTGGGAATGCTTGGGTTTAGGTTTGTGCTCACAAAGGACCGGGGTCTGCGTTGAAGGGAACTGGAACTCTTTAATTAACTCCTTTCTAGAGCTTTTCTTTGTTAAGGTTTGCAGGCTCTGTCGTGCCTTATTGATGGAGGAAACCCTCTCCCTTCTGCGGGACTTGGTGCCGGCACTCTGGGATGGCCATTTTGGGCTTCGGGGAGGTTGGTGCCAAGCTATGGCTGGAGCTCCTGTCCCCTCCTGCCTCCCACAGCATCCATCTTTGGTACTCCATGACAAGAGGAGTGAGTGGCGGTGCCCCCTCCTCAGAGAGTCCCCCCCTCCAGCCTCCTGAGCACGGGGGTTCCTCTGGGGCCACTGCCTCCTGAGGTAAAGCTCCGGAAGGTTCTAGACCCCCCCACCCCTCCAGCCTCCTGAGCACGGGGGTTCCTTTGGGGCAGCTGCCTCATGAGGTAAAGCTCCGGAAGGTTCTGGAGCTGCACTGGCGGGCTCCTGCTCAGAGCAGTCACGGCCTGGGCTGGCAGCCGCCGGCCCACCACAGAGCTGGCCACAGGCACCAGGTGTCCATAGGAGCCGTTCCTAGGGCAACCGCTGAGTTTTATGAGGTAGCGATGTTCCGAGTAACAGTGTTTCAGAGGGCTGAGGTGTTCGGGTACCTCAGAGGCTGCTGAGGGGAAGCCGGGATGTTCCTCAGGTGCTTTTGGTGAGACGATGCCTCTGTAAAGGGAAGGTTTTACTTCAAAAGTGGAGGAAATCCCAGGATTCAGTTGAGGACATTGACTTCTCGCCCAAAGAGCTCCACTGCTGGGAATGGCTGGAGCTGCTCTGAGGCACCGGCGTTTTGCTGCCGTGTCCCCTGTGGTGAATTCTCATTCCCCATGAAGACAAGGGCAGATGGTGCTGGTTGAGGACTCTGTGGAGCAGGAGGTCTCCTGTGGGCACCATGTGAGGAAACATCACCCAGAAGACGGCACCAGGTAAGGCTGAAGGGGAGTCTGGGGCGTTTGGGGCTTGGAGCGGGCGGAGCCGCCATTATCCCCCTCAGGAGATGCTTGCAGCAGGATCATGGCAGTTGAATGATGCCATGCTAGTACGTGCACACTAGTGCACAAAGTGTGGCACCTGGCTCCTCTGTGGTATCCCCTCTGTTATAAACTGTGTGTGGTGACTCCATCAGTGGGTGACTGGCCTGAGGGCTACATCCCTGCATGGAGCAGGCTGAGGCCATGGAGGTGTGGGTGCTGCTGGGGGCTCTCTGTGTGGAGTGCTTGGACTGCTGAAAACCAGGCTGCAGGGGCATGGTCTGTAATTAAAAGTGATACTGGGGCTTTGGTGTGTGTCACCATGGAGATCTGTTGCTACCAGTGGGACAAACAGCAGTGGGGAGCACTTCTGTGAGACAGGAGAGGGCTTTCACATGCAGAAAAATTTAGCTTCACTTCTGCTAATGCTGATTTAAAACAAAGTGTTGTGAAAGTACAGGTGCTCTGCGCTTTGGCTTTCTTTAAGTCCCTGAGCTCCCTTGTTCTCCTCCTGCCTCACAGCATGAGGGGCTGAGAGTGCTGGAAGGTTCCAGGTATTTCAGCTGCCCAAGGTTTGAGGTGTGTGGGTGCTTATTTGCTGTGCAGACCATAGAGGAAACCTGGGAAGGGAATAAGGCTGCATACACAGGGTAGCAGGACGAAATGGTGATAAGCAGAGGATGTCTGTGTCAGAACAGCCAGGCAAAGACAACATCTATAAAGCCTGCATGGAGGTTTTCTTTCTCTCTTCCAAATGTTAGAGCAACTGGCATGGGACATGCCTGGAGGCCAGTCCCAGCAGAAGGCTGGGATGCTTAGGTGTTGGAGGAAAGCAGGTTAAAGAAATAACTGTTAACTTGCCACTTGAACAGCCCATGAGGAGACTTGATAAATGCCATTTGGATCTGGAGAGTCCAGCGTGATGGATACCCATTTATTTTCTGATGCTTTGACACAACGCATCTGCACCAGAACATTGGTGAGCATGAGGTTAGGTGCAGAGGGGCTCCCTTCACGCATTTGTGTGAATTGCATCATTATATTTCACTTAGTTTTTATCCACTGCCCACTTGAGTTAGTGACAAAGGATTTCAATACTGGGCATGCAAATTAGAGCGAAAGCTGCTATTGTTTTTCCAGATACCTGACAGCTCCTCTCACTCAGCCTAACACAGACTGAGTTTGAAAGTACAGGAGCCAGGGGTAGGGAATTCCTAGCAGAATAATAGCTGACAGGCTCCTCGCAGGCTCCAGAATCAGAGTAATGGCTCACACAGAGGAACATGTGTTGGCAACCTTGCTTGAGCCATTTTTCCAGAGCTGTGAAGAAACTGGAGCACTTCCAGGAGATGACAGAAAATCTGCTGTTTCAGGGGAGAGCCAGAGGCCATGTCATTGTCATTCTTCTCCACTCTTTGGCAATCTGCACAGACTCCTTGGAAGAGCACCTGAGAGCATTTATGGGAGTGGAGAAGTGATAAAAGCTAAAGTGATGGCCCAGTAATAGCAAGAAACCTATTAATGCAACATTTATGGCTGCAGAGCAAATTATGCCTAGCGTGGTCTTGTGGCAAGCGGGGGTAGAGCAGGACTGCTGGAGCACAGCCTGCATGATGAAACCCCACAGCATGCAGGAGAAGATAACTTGCTTTTTTTGTTCTTTGAGAATCTGGTGAGTACTGGTGTCCTCTCCATGAGGTGCTTTCTATCCTGGGTGTACTGTGAGCATGTACTAAGTGCTGCCAGTGGTACTGTGACAGATTGAAAGATCCTGCTTAGTACCAGTGATTCACAATGCTTTGCTTTGCTCAAGATGCATCTGGAAAGCTTCCCGGATTCTACATCTGCCCCTTTGACACTGAAGCTGCAGTGCAAATTGGAGGCCAGAAGGTACAGAACACAGATTTAGTCTGTGCTGTTCTTTGGGGCAAGGATTGTCTGTCTCCATGCTTGGAGAGCAACTAAAGAGTTACACCAGCTCAGAACAATTCCTAGAGCAATTGCAGGATATGTGGCTGCCAGAAAATTGTAAATTGTAATTGAGGTACTGGAAAAAAGCAATGATTTATTATAAATCTGCATGTTGTGCTATCACTGCATGGCAAGTAAACTGGTCAGAAGTGCATGTCATGCATTCACAGAGTGAGGCAAAATAAGTTAGTGCAAGAGTTGCAATTGGATCGGCCTCAAAACAGTTTCCATCAGGAAATATCAGGCTTTATGTTGTTTAAATTCTTCATTTTCTTCCCTACTGGTGGAGGAGGAAATTAAAGTATTAGTTTTTGAGTCTCTTTGTTGCCTAGGAGCTTAACAAAACCTGTCAGTGGAAGTCAAAATATTCTTTGGTCTGCTCTAATTTGTCATTTACCTGTGTCCTGGAAGCCTTCTAAGTGTGGTTGCAGAGTATTGCATGTGCCTGTCCATTGCAGATTGGACCACAGCTTCGTTGGTGTGCTAGTGCTTTCCCTTTGGAATCTGACTAAGCCCTTGACATGAACAGCCTCCTCTGAATATGGCTGGGTGTGGAGGGCCAGGTCTGCTCCCTGAAGGTTAGCTGCTTTGCCAAGTGACAAGCTCTTACCAAGATGCACTCTCAGAAAGTTTGCAGATGACACTATACTGGAACTGTCACCCCTAGGGTATTTTCTGGAACATGGTGTAAGTCATGATGTGCATATGTACTGGGTCTGCTCATGCACTTCTTTGTCCCCTCTAAGTCGTCAGCTCTAGAAGACTTCTCAGGCCTAAATTAAAATAAGGAAAAGTAAAGCAACCAGAGCACATCTTAACCAGCATGGGTTTTGTTTTTAAAGCAAATCCAGTGCAGGAGAGATGGCCTTGTCTGAGCGTTGCTTCTTAGAAAGGTGAGACCTGGAAAGTTCCTTATTCTTCATTGTCCAGGCTTTTGACACAGAGCAACCTGCCCCATGTTAACTTTTGCATTTCTCATCAAGATGCAACATACTTTAAATAACATGTGCATGACTGGCTGGTTTTTTTTTTC